GGGCAAGGCCGCAGGAAGGTGAAGTCGCTCCCCTCGGAGCCCTGGGAGAAGCAGGTGCTGTAGCACTGGGACTGGGTGTCGGTGGGTCGCAGCGTGACCTCCATGTACTTGAGGGTGCCGTCGGAGCTGAGCTGCAGCTTGGGGCTGGAGTGCTTGAAGAAGTCCCGGGAGGGCGACTCGCTGAGCCAGCAGCAGCAGTAGGGTGAGACGGCGGCGCGGCCCCTGCGCCGGAGGCACCTGGCGGCCAGGACGGTGACAGTGGCCAGTGCCACCGTGCTAACGGCTGCCAGCGCGATGATCAGGTAGAGGGTCAGGTCTGGCTTCTCCTTGGCACCAGCCAGGAAGTCCCGAGGCTTGTAGCTCTCCTCCGGGGCTGCCTCCTCCAGGGTCACAGTGATGGTGGCAGTGGTGGAGAGCGGTGGGTTGCCGTTGTCCATCACCTGGACAACGAGCTGCTGCACTGCCATGTCGGTGTCCTGGAAGGCACGTGCCGTCCGCACCTCCCCGGTGTGCAGAGACATGTGGAACAAGGAGGGGTCGGTGGACTGTGGCAACAGCCGGTACGAGAGCCAGGCGTTGTACCCGGCATCCGCATCCACCGCTGTCACCTTGGTGACCAGGGAGCCCGGTGGGACAGACAGCGGGACCCTCTGGGGTGCTGAGACATCGCTGTCACTGGCAGGGTGCAGGATGGTGGGGGGGTGGTCATTCTGGTCCAGCACAAAGATGTAGACAGTAACATTGGCATGGAGCGGGGGGGACCCCGAGTCCCGCACGGCCACAGAGACCGGCAGAACCTGCAGCTGCTCAAAGTCAAAGGTGCTCTGAGCGTAGAGGTTGCCATTGTCAGGGTTGATGTGGACGAAGGAAGAGATGGGGGAACCCTGCACTTGGCCACTCACTATGGAGTAAACAAGCCGGGAATTATCCCCATCATCAGGGTCTGAGGCAGAGACAGTGCACAGCAGGGAGCCAGGCGGGTTGTTCTCCTCGAGAAAGGCATCGTAGGAGGGCTGCAAGAAGCGTGGGGGGTTGTCATTCACATCAGATATATTGAGGAGCAGTGTGAGTGTTGTGGTGAGGGCAGGAGACCCACCATCCCGGCCGATCAGCACCACTCGGTACTGTGAGGTGGACTCTCGGTCCAGGCTCTCCTGGGTGACCAGGGAGAAGTGGTTCTGAAGGGACCTGATGGCAAAAGGCACATCAGGGGAGATCTGCAAGCTCACATCCCCATTGGCCCCTGAGTCTCGGTCCCGGACATTGAAGAGCCCCACGACAGTCTCTGGTGGGGTGTCTTCTGGCACCGGATTCAGCAGGGAGGTGAGCAGCACCTCTGGGGGGTTGTCATTGGCATCCTCCACTTGCACCTGCAGAACACAATTGCCCTCCATCTCTGGGACCCCTCCGTCATGGGCTCGCACATAGATCTCATAGAAAGGTGATTCCTCAAAGTCCAGGGCCCCACTCACCCGGACCTCACCACTGTGGGGATCCAGGGAGAAGAGCCTCCGCACCGAGTCGGAGGTGTGAACCCCGAAGGAGTACTGTGTCTCCCCATTGGGACCCTCGTCGGGGTCAGACGCGTTGATCCGGAGGAGCACGGCCCCCACAGGTGTGTTTTCCGGGACTCGCACCTTGTACGTGGTGCGGTCACAGGTGGGAGCGTTGTCATTGACATCCAGGACCAGGACTGTTATCTGTGCCGTGCCCGAGCGGGCTGGGCTTCCCCCGTCCACGGCCGTCAGCACCAGCTGCAGTTCTGGCTGCTCCTCCCGGTCCAGGGCACGCTCCAGTACCAGCTCCGGGAAGAGTTTGCTATCCGGCTGCTGCTTGACATCCAGGGAGAAGTGGGAGTTCGGGCTCAGCCTGTAGGAGCTCACAGCATTAGTGCCCACATCGGGGTCCTGAGCACTCTCCAGGGGGAAGCGCGCGGCCACCGTGGCAGACTCGGCGATGCGCAGGGTGCGCTGAGCAGTGGGGAAGCTCGGGGAGTTGTCGTTCACATCCAGGATCTCCACTTCCAGGCGGAAGAGCTGCAGGGGGTTCTCTGTCAGCACCTGCACCGACAGCACGCAGCTGGCAGCTGCTCCGCACAGACGCTCCCGGTCCAGCCGCTGGCTCACCACCAGCGTGCCGCTGTCCAGGCGCACGGAGAAGTGGCGCGAGCTCTCCTCGGAGCCCAGGCGCAGCCTGCGACCCGGCAGCTCCTCCACCTTCAAGCCCAGGTCCCGGGCCATGTTCCCCACCACAGTTCCCACCTCTGACTCCTCAACCACCGAGTAGTGGATCTGCCCGGAGACCCGGCCCCAGCCGCAGAGCAAAAACAAACTCAGTACTTGCCATTTCCAGGCGGGTCGCTGGAGGCTGACACTCTCCATGTCCGTGCGCGTCTGGCCCGGGACACAGCAGGCACTGAGGAACTGCGATAAAATCCCTGGGTCTCTCTTCCACGGCTTGGAAAACAGCTCCGGGGCTCCGGCAGGCTGCGGCTCCGGCTGTCAGCCTCCGAGCAGAGGGGGTGGGCTGGGGGAGGGGAACTGAATCACAGCCCCAGCGCGGAGGTGGGAGGGAGGGGGGTTGAGGGGAGAAGCAGATTTCCCCCCCTCGCTTCAGATCAGCGCCCAATTGGCCGAGAGCTCCGTCCCCTCTCGGCCAGCAGTGGCTCCGGAGGTGAGGGAAGCAGGGGCCTGAGCCGGCAACAGCGGGGCTGCCACCCCCGGCCTCCCCTCTGCCAGCCTGACTCACTTGCTCCGACAGCTCGCTTTGCGTTCACAGGGAAACTGCACGTCCTGGCAGCCTGGAAGCTAGGTACAAACCCTCCCTGTGTGCTCCCCCTTCCACAATGGGGGCTTCACATCGTGCCCACACACAAAGGGCAGCTGTCAGGAACGCACGCCAAAGGACTTTTCATGCCTGATGAAAAGGTGCTTGTTAGAGCCCTGAGGTGCCAAGGGCTCTTCTCCCACCCCTCATCTCCCCCCCAGCTAATGCTTTGGCTGCTGCCTGCACCCCATCATTGCCTCTCTGAGTGAGGCATCACTGGCACCAGTACCATCACCAGCCAGGAGATCTCGCACTGAAACAGGGATGCCCACCCCTGCCAGCCCACCTGAGGGAATGGGAGGCTGAAGGTGGGAAGGCAAAGACAGGTGAGCCATTCAAAGCCAGAGTACAATTGCTCACAAAGCACACCTGACTGGAACCCCTTCCTCACCCTGGGATGGGGAAGAGATCAGACTTGACAGTACCCAAATCACTTGCAAATACATACAACCAGACAACAAGAACACTAGAACACCACTGAATCACAACACCAGGTCAGGAGTCAGACTGGGAAGGAGGCCCAAGCCTCCCACCTGGCAGACACACATACTGACATTCTGCAGCAGACACAGCTTTGCAGCCCAGCAATCCGAGGACAAAAGCAGGGATCTCAGCCTCCCCAGAGGGGAGCAAACCGTAATTGCCTCCTCTCCCTGTCACTGAGGATGATGGCAAGCTGCAGGGTGTTAACTCAGCTCACATCCCTGCAGAAGCCTTGTGCAGTCACAGAATCATAGAATGGCCTGGGTTGGAAGGGACCTGAAAGACCATCTCATTACAACCCCCTGCCATGGGCAGGGACACCTTCCACTAGACCAGGTTGCTCAGAGCTCTAACCTGGCCTTAAATACTTCCAGGAATGGGACAGCCACAGTTTCTCTTTACAACCTGTGCCAAGGTTTCAGCACCCTCCCAGTAAAAAATTTATTCCTAATGTCTAATCTAAACCTACTCTCTGTCAGCTTGAAACCATTCCCATGCACTTATAAAAAGTCCCTCTCCACCTTTCTGTCCCTGGTGCACTGAACTGCCACCCCAACCTCTCTTGGGTGCACACAGACCCTGGGGTCTGGGGTCTGCAGTGGTGTGGCAGGCAGGGGTCCTGTCTGGGACTCTGCCTGCCCCCACCACCTGGGCACCAAAGGGACCTGAGGGAACAGGTGAGAGAGGCTGAGGGGACCAATGCCCGGCACAGTGGACGGTGACAGGGACACCATCCTTCTGGCAAGGACAGACACGGTGGAGGTGCTGCTTCCGAGGGTCCTCCCTCCCCTCTGCAGCAGTTCCCTGCCTATTCCAAGAGCCGTGAGGCGGGACCACCCTGCTGCCAGTCAGGGAGAGACACAGCGAGGACTGGTGAGAACACTGCGCGGGTCCCACCTACTGCCCGCTCCGGAGGAGGGGAGAAGGCTTCCTTAAAGAGCCAGTGCAGCAAAACGCTGCATTGGCTCTTTAAGATTCCACAGGGATCTACAGAGACCAATAAAGATATATACAGACCAATACATGTTTGGACATACTTATTTTGGGGGTGCATCTTGCAGTGCCACCAGCAAGAAGCTGTCACAGTAACTTTGACTCTGGAATGTGCCCTGTCCCCATCCCAGGCAGGGCCCCAGACAGCACAGCAGGGTGACAGACAATGCTGCCGGCAATACAGGGTGCTGTGCCCCTGGTAGTGGGTTTGATGCTGCTGTGGTGCCTCAGCAGAAGCCCCCTGTGAAGCCTGTATGGTCTGGGAGAATCCACCCTGTGTCCCAAGGTGGCTCAATCACCAAGGAGCTGCAGCAAGGGCTTCACACAGGGGATCCTGCTGCTGCTTGAGTCTGTCAAAGCCTGGGATAGGGACAGTGACAAGGCAGAAAGGGTATGGGGTGTCTAGGATGGACAAGGAAATGTTCCCCATTCCAGAGGGCCAGAGCTCTCCCTGTGGAAGGGCTCCAACCCAGACAACCCAGGGATCACAGGAGATCCTGCAGAGTGGAATCCCTCATGGCAGGACACACTGCCTGCACAGACAGGGCCAACACCCTCCCCACTGCATCAGTTTTGGGGGCTGGCTGTGTCCTGCAGAGCAGAGAGGTGTAAAGCCTTTGCAGGCTTGACATGGGCTGTTGTCACCACAAAGACTGAAAATCCAGGGCTCAGTGCCAGCCCAGCTGATTTCTCACTGCCAGTGCCTTTCCAGTGTAGTACTGGGGAGTAGGAGAGAGGGATGGCTAGGGCTCAGGCTTACTGCCTGCCTGGTATCACCTCCTTCCACCCCACTCTCAAACAATTTGCTGCCCCCACCCCCAGAGGCATCTTGCCAGGACCCTTTGGTCGAGGGGACATCCTTGTCCCCAACCTGAGCATAGCCTGCACAGTGCAGAGGAACACTTGTTCCTGCAGCTGCTGTAGCCATTCCCACCTACCAGAAACCAGAAGTGCTGAGTCTGAGCAGTGACGCAGGCAGAGGGGGAAAAAAAAAAGGGAAAAAAAAGGCATAAAATAATTCTGAGAGGTTTCTGCCTCCATCTGTGATTTGGCCACACTGAGCAGGCGGCACACGCAGCCTCACACCCGTGCACAGCTTCCGCTGCACCTCACTTCCTTCTGCTCTGAGGAGCCGGTCGCTCTCACTCACAGCCTCCCAGGAAGGACAAATCACCAGCACCAGCCACCTTGGAAACCCACCAGATCCACCACCACCCCCATCCACTGGATCCATTACCGGGCCTCACCTCTGAGGATTGAAGCACTCCTGTAATTGAAAGCTTTCCAATTAAGCTGCACAATTCCCATCGGGAAAGAAGCACAGGAGCTGCCTGCCATGCGCAAATGCCTTCCTGCCTGCAGTTTGCTCAGTCAGGACATCAGACATCACCCAGAGGTAGCATATTACAAACCATGCAGAGTTCATAATAAGGTTTTTGAACAACATCTGAGTGGAGGACTCCCCATTCTGCTCAGAGCCACAGTCCAGCTCAGTGGAGCCCTGCAAGCAACTGGGACAATCTGCAGTCCCACACCTCCACCCTGAAGCAAACACCATCACAGAGCTTCCATGGAAACAAAACCAGAAGCATCAGGAGTCAAACATGAGGAGCAGCACGGATGGGAGGGATGCTCTGTGGCCACGGTCTGTCACACAGAGGAACCAGCATCATCCTTCAGCTTTGTGTGCTACACTGTGGGTGGTGACACCCTGCTCCCCCACCGGCAGCTGGTGGCTCCCAGCCCCCTTTGCACCACCACCTCTTCAGTCCCCACCAGGGCACAATGCAGAGACACTGTGTTCCCAGCAGTACAAGTGCTCCCCTCGGCTTTCCTATTGCAAAGGGAAGGAAATACCATCAGCAACAAAACTTTGTGCCAAGGATTTACAAGTGGTTGCAAGCTGACCTCAGGCTCCACCGGTTACTCACGCAAGGCGTACCCAAAACTGCATCCAAAAGACATGTCTGCCAACCTGAGCAAACTGACTCACTTGATCCTGCTCAGCACAGTGCAAATGTCACTGACACTCAGGACAGCTCACGTGACTCCAAAGAAGACCTGTTCAGCCATAGCTGACCACTCTGTACAGGCACGGCGCGACTGGACATCCCTCCCAACCCCAACATGCCACCAAACACATATGGCACAAATGAACCGTGGCTCTGCCCGGCGCTGGGACATGCCAAGGAAGGAGCTACGTTACCTCGGCAGGTGCAGGGAGCCGGCTGGCAGTGCCCACGATCTGGTGGTACAGCCCTGGCTCACCATTCCTTATGGTGCTCTGACGGCTCCCCAGGGGGCTGGAAGTGAAGGGCTTTTTACACAGGAGATCGCTCTGGCGAGAGTCCGTGGTGAGATAGACCTGGTGGTAGAAGTTGGGTGGCGTGAAGCCACCCCGCACAGCATCGATGTGGTGGAAGGGCCCTGGTGTCCTGTATGTGGTACTCCTGGAGCTGTTGAACAGCTCCTTTGACTGCCTCCACTTGTAGCACTTGAAGATGCCCACAGACAACATGGTGATGAAGAAGGCTGCTGAGACCAGAATCACAGCCAGGATGAGATAGAAAGTCACATGTTTCCTGGGGTCATTAGCAGGTGCCACATCAGCGAGGTCAGTGAGCACCTCCTTGACCATCTCGGCCACAGAGATGGAGACAGTGGCAGTGGTGGACAGCACAGGCTCCCCGTGGTCTTTCAGCAGGATGACTAACGTGTGCTGAGGAGGGTCATCCTCGCGGAGCTGGCGGGCCGTGAAGATGTCCCCATTGTGCAGCCCAACTGAGAAGAGGCTGGGGTCGGTGGCCTGCAACAGGGTATAGGAGATCCAGGCATTGTACCCTGCATCTGCATCCACCGCCACCACCTTGGTGACCATGTGCCCGGCAGGAGTGCCGGGTGCCACCACATCGGGATAGGTGGCAGAGCTGTTGGGGTGGGGGTACAGCACGGTTGGGGCATTGTCATTGACGTCAGTGACAAACACACTGACTGAGACATTAGTGGCCAGAGGCGGAAAGCCGCCGTC